ATACTCGGGTCCCAATTAATTATTTTGCTTCCACTTCGACCGTTGACTATAATTTTACCAACAATCATGTCACTAGAAGCATTCTCCTACACATGATTGGAATTGACCACCCTCTTACCGTCAACACCCTCCTCCACTTTGTTTGGAGATGTTATAGGACATGTTAAAGGATCCCCATCAATGTCCATATTAGGTGGACCATCTGCAAGCTCTACCATACCCATGGCTGACTTGCAATGGGCATCATCCACCAGCTGATTTGTGAATTTGATTTGTTTGTGACCCCAATTTATGGAAAAATAACAAAGAAAACACGCATAAAAAGAGTAACTTTGATTTAATTGAAAGTACACTTACAAGTGTGGTGCTCATTGAGTTATCGAATGAAGGTCTAGAACTTTCCTAGTCACTTTTAGGCAACAGTGTATATGGTACTGGGGGATGCTCCACTCCTGTCGAAAGAGCTGATCGAGAATTTGTAAGGAGGATTCACAACTAGAAACGTTCACAGGAATATTGCCCAACCTTGCTTTTTTTTTTTACGAGAAGAGGGATGTGTCTCGATGCAAAAAGCCTCTGGTTTTCTAAAACATTAGTTGATCCACTTCAAAATCGGGTTTTTGAGTTCAACTCCTAACTATTTTTACTGCAATTTTCTATTGAAAACTTGTTTCGTACGGGCTAGACTGCTCTAAAATATGCAGTCTAGAGTTATAAAACATCCATCTTAAAGAAGGATGCAAATAGGTGGTTTCCTAAAAACAATTGTAACCAATGGTCCAATTTTTTTTTTCCATATTCATGATCTCTATGTTAAAGATTACATATACTTTAAAAATTAGGATCAAATTATATTTAAAAAATGTCTTTATTGCCAAGCCCGCATTTCTACAATACGCAGACTGGCAGCATGCTAACTGCGTCCTTTTCTATTTGATTGGGTTTCAAATTTGGGAATTGTTTCTTACAGAAGGAATTGGTTAGGGAAGGCTTGGGTCTCGCGTCTTTCCCTCTCTAAGTCTTTCTGTCACTAGGTTTCTCAACTCTCCAATTTTCCAACCTATTTCAATTGGAGATGAAAGGGGTATTTATCGAGCGGAGCCCTTTGAAATATGGGTGCAAAATCAAGATAGTGGATGATACATGATGAAAAATCAACTTTTTTTCCCGTTATTTTCTAAAAAAGTAAGTTAGTTATAGTCATTTTGGTGAAAATATCACCAGTTACCCATCAAGAACACTACTTATTTCACAATTTTTCCAATTGGAAGCCATTTTGGTTCCATGAAGTTGTGCAAAGTCACTCTATGAGCATTTTGCAATAAATTTGACTTATGAGTGTTTTTATAAGTTTGGATCACAACTTCATTAATATCCTTGTACTTGTCCAATTTCTTCTTATTTTGCTGCCTTTTTACTATTTCTTTTTTCCGTATTCCAGCTCTAAGGATTGAGGGAAATATGATCATATTTTGCCTCATTTTATGAAATTCAGCATGCTTCTTCTTTTGGACTCTTTCAAGCTCTGATTCGAACCCCGATCTTGATATAAACCTATCAGCAAATCATAGTGATGTTTAGGGGTTGGGCAAGGATTATATCTACAAAATTTCAAGTCAAAACACGCCATAGATTGTGAGAAATTAATCAAGAATTGGATATAAGATTTTTGGAAACTGCAGCTCATAAACACCTCGTTGATCACATATGTTTTTATTCAATCTGGTATTGATCCATGTAAAGAACCCCTTTGATATATATGTTGCTCAAAAACTCTTTGAGTCAGGAAAACATATCGCAGTTTCAAGTCATTTTAATGTGGGATTTCGGAAAAGACAACAAAACTTACTCAAGGACTCATCCCGTCATACTGCTCGTTATTGCTTGACTGCCGCCAGACCATGAGCATATTATGGTCCGCATGCTTTAAAACTGGCGGTCCTTTGTGTGTCCTCAAAGACTACTTTATAAATTGAAGTTCCCATGTATTGAATTGAGCCCAAAGTTTGGGTGTAATATTTTTAGAGAAGGGCCTATTCTCGTAGAAAATTCTAGGCCTTTCAGACACCAGTAGAAAAGAGCTCCTTTGTAATTTTACCATCTTTTTTGGCCGGAATTATGCACCCTCGTATTTAGGTATGACCTTATTTTTGGAAGAGACTTTCAGAGAACCTTAGATTAAAATTTGGGACCCTTGGATAACCATTTGGGTAGGCTTTTCCCGGTTTGACCAAGCTCCATTTTGCATCGCCAGTCGGGGTGGCTCCCTAACTTCTTTATCTTTATCTAAGGGGCTCCAGATCCTATGTAATGGGATCCCCATAATTTAAGATGGCGTTCTAGTGATTCCGATATATATTTTTGTGGATATGGAACTAAACGCTTGTTTGACTGTTCAACTCCATGCATTGTGGAAAATGAGCTGCTATCTCTCCCTCCCCCGCCCCCGCCCCCGCCCCCGCCCCCACCCCCACCCCCGCATCCGCACCCGCACCCGCACCCCCACCCCGGCTTCTTTTTGTTTTTTTTGTCTTTTATGTTTTGGGTAATTCAGTCGAGGAAAATATACCCCTAGCTGTTATTTCAAGTAGATTAAGAAATAGCTTTTTTGAAAGTATTAGTGGGATGGTGTTAGCATAGTTAGCAAGTCGGGGACTATCAATAAATTGGCTCACCATAAAATCGAAAAGAAATCTTTTTATTTTTAAAAGTCGATCGAAAAAATAGGGTAAAAAATACAGATTGGCAAAAATACTTCATGGAAAGATATCATCAATATATCAGACTAGGCTCAAAACATCGGAAAATTGTAAAATATTAGAAATTTTGAAATTCTAAAATATAAAAATTATGTCAAAGCCATCAATAACTAATCCATCCGTAAAAATATACAATATAAATTTACTCATTAAATACGTTAACAAACATCACACCTACTTAGTAGGTACCAAAAAAAAAAAAAGACACTAATTTGTTTTTCTCATTAAAATGCTTTAACTATGGTGTGGTGACTATGGTCAATCAATAACTATGATTAAAGTTTATATGCAATTTTTTAATGGGTGCGGTTTGTATAGAGCCGAGGCTCTAAACAATCAAAGCACAGCGCATCTTCAAATAGTATCGAGAAATATGATTTCAATATTGAAAATCTTTTTGATAGCCTTAAAATATGCTTTTATCTTTAATTGTAAATTTTAAAGCTTTAAAAATAGTATGGATAGAGTAGATCTATGAAAACTTGACAATCTTGAAAATTGATATTAAAAAAATACGTTACACGATGCACTATTTCCAAAACTTGAAATCCATTTTTTTTCTCATATCCATGCATCTAGATGTTGAGATGACCAATTTGATGATATTTGAGCATCAAAACAACCTTTTTTAGTGAAATTTTTGAGGTGGGCTCTAATTTGATTGTTTAGAGCGTCCAATCTATATTAACTTTTCCTTTTTTTAATTGAAAACAGGGCTTGTGAAATACACATTTGAGTTCGAGTTCTCGGTTTTGAAAGGATGCTTCCAGAGAGAGAAAAGTTGTTCGAGTTCTCCGTTTGGGTGCTCTGAATTTAAGGGATTTTACAAGAGCATCTCTTGCCCTTCTTTTTTGCGATCAAAGAATCCATGGCTCTTCAATCAGCTTAGTAGTCATTGCAAATCTATTCATAGAGAGGGAGAAGAAATTTGAGCGGCTGCCACAATAGCCTTTGCAGTTGAGAGAGTCATGACTGGTTTAGAATTAGGGGTTATAGAACACAAGTTCCTATCAATTCTCTACCATTTCTTATTAGAATCACCATTATTTGTGAGAGGAATGTTAGGGTTTGTGCAATGAGTGCAAGCATAAGCAGGCAAACATTCAGGAACAAGTCGAATGTGAAACTGAGACACACTTTAAGAACTTAACGCCATCAATTAATGGTTCCTCCTTAGTGTAAACTTCAAAGCAACCAGGGCAAAATAATTCTCAGTGGGATTTCAGCAAGCAAGAAGTGCAGAGATGGCAAAAGGTACCTTTGGGCTCGGGCAAGATTTGGGATGCTATTTTTTTTCTTGGAGATGCTGATTTTTAGAGAGAGAAGAGGAAGAGAACTTGAAAAAAAAAAATACAAGTATAAAAAAGTACAATTTTTTGGTCTGGTTTAAATCGTTTTATTAAAAAATCGTGTTTTAAATGTTTTTATGAAAAAATCGGTTTTAAATGTTTTTATGAAAAAATCGTGATTTTTTACCGACCTTTTCAAAGAGTCGCAATTTTAAACGGTTCCCGTAAAGTTGATGATTTGTCTGAAAAATCTCTTATTTGCTAACTATGGGGGTTAGTGGTAGTGAGTGCTACCTAGGGTTACTTAAGTTTTTATTTGAATTGATATTATTATGACTTAGGGGTTTCAATGTTTTGAATTTATGAAATTTTAGGCTATTAGAGACTATTGGAATAAGGATGGAGGACATAGGACATTTAGATTTTAGAAGGTCAGGGGTTAGGGTTTTAAAGAAGCTCAAGATTCTAGGGTTTAAGTCTTGTTTCAGTCCCCGACATGACCTATTTATAGAGCAGGGGTTTCTATATTACATAACTAATAGCATTAAATATGGGCCATCAAAAGTGTCGCTAGGACACTATCGATGTAGTCCACATTGTTGGCTCTGTATTCTATCAAATTTTGCAGAGTTTTTGTATTTTCTTTTAGTTTAAAATTTTTGCCCTTTTTTAACTCGGTGTAAGATCTGGGTTAGGCATTTCAAACAGGGAAAATATCGTACAGAAGCCTAATTCTCCATTTTATTTCACCGTAGACCCTCCTTCCACTTTTCTTTCAAGCGCCATACATAAACCCTCAAATATTTCACCTAAACCCCTCATCCCTTATTTCTCTCGTTTATTCACTATTGGCAATAAAACTGACCCCAACAAACTATTTTATTCCATCTCTATCCAAAATCCTTTTTAACCCTCATTTCTCCTGTTTTCATTTTCACTACAATAATCTCTCTCTCTCGACTACAGCAAGGGCTCTCTCTCTCTTCATTCGGCAAAATCTGCCCACCTCTCATGGTAAGTTTCTTTCTTTTTCTCTCCTCTCTCTTTCTGTCTCTCTCTCCCCCTGCCTTTAAAACCTCCATTGCTCTCACCTTCTAGTACTCTCTCTCTTTGTCTCTCTCTCTCAAAACCTCCATTCCTCTCATTTTTTGGGGATGTTGCCGTATCAATCTTTTGTTTCCGGTCTCTCTCTACCCCATGGGTCATTGTTCTCTTTTTCACTGTCTCTCTCATTATTATCTGTGTTTTTATTTTTCACTTCATCTCTCTCTGATCCCTATTAATTTTGACATTTCTTCTTTTTCTCTGCATTTCTTGTATGTTCTTCGTATAGAAATCAGGGTTTCTTGGTTCCTTGATATATAGAAATGGAATATTTAGGGTTTCTTGTGGCAATGCATTCACTACCACCAGTGACCTAGGGCTTTTATGTATTTTCTTTAATGTTGTAAGTTTAAAACTTGATGAACATCTGTACAAAATCTGAAAATCTTATTTTCTCTAACAATGTAATTTTGGACAATCTATTTCAAAATCTGAAAATCTCAAGCACCTAAGAATTTACGGAGGAAGGAACCTATTTGTAGCAGAGGCATCCGTTTGTAGTCTTAGAAAAGAAACACATCCTCAGAGGTTAGAGGGAAACACAATTTCAGATATAGAGAGAAAAAACCAATAACCAGTTTTAGAGAGAGAAACATTAGCAAAAGATAGATAGTGAAACTAGACAAACAAGAAGATAGAGGAACTCGTGAATAATACAAGAGGGAAAAGTACCCGTTACATGTATTTTTTTTTTTTTTTTTTGTTGGAGATAGAGAGAGATGCATTCATGGGTTTTTACTGAAATTCTGATTTTTGTTGTTGCCGGTAAGAGAGGTACAATTCATGGGTTTGCATTATTAGTGAGAGAAAGATGAAATTTATGCATTGCCTTGTTTTTTTGTTGGAGGGAGAGTGCACTTCATGGGTTGGGAAGAGAGAGATTGAGAAATGACAAAGAAGATGACGATGGATAGAGAGAGGCATTGTGAAATATGTCGAGGGATTTTGGTTATTACTAGCTAAGACTTGTTATCTATATTGTAGTCACTATATGCATAGGAACCATCTACTTGCATGTGCCCACTAGTTACACTTCCATTCTGGCAAGCTTCTTTTCTTTCCCAATCGCTCGAACCAAATGAAGGGTCCATTGCTTTCACCACTCCAAAAGTGTAGCCAATGGTGGTAACTTCACATAATTTGTTTGCAACAGGCCAGAGGTGCATGTGCTTCTTTTGTTTTGGGCTTCGTGACCTTCATGTTAATTGGGGGATTCCCTTCTTTTGTTGAAGATATGAAGGTTTGAGACGTGAGGCTTCTGTATATGCTAATATTATCTTTCCATGAATTAGTTAATAATGCATCTTAAAATTAGGTCTGAATGGAATGCTGCAGATGTTTCAGAGAGAGAGGCTAAATGGACACTATGGGGTGGTTGCATTTGTCGTAAGCAACACCCTCTCTGCAATGTCATTCCTGATCACTTTGTCTATATGGGCCCTCATGCTTAAGGTCTTCTTTTTGTTTCTCTCAATTGGATGGATGATAGGCAGTTGGTATTCTTCTGGATGTTCAGACCCTTATATTGCTATCTAGCTAGATTTGATTGGTTAATGGTTGATGGACCCTTATATAGCTATCTAGCTCATTGAAAGAGATCTGGATTATCAGCTTAATTTGTAATTTATTTTAGATTTGTGAGATACTTGTTTTAAAACGATTGATGTAACTACTATCATAAATTTATGTGAAGTTTTTATACTTTCTTTTATATTGTGTAAACTCTCTCCCACTCTCGTGCACATACATATGCGTACACGCAATTTAAACACAATCGTATTCTTCTTCTTTTTTGGCAAAATTAACACAGAATTGATTTCAATGATATTCAAACACGCCCCTAAATTTATTATGATGTCAAAGCACACATAGCCTTCTCTGAATTTGTAGAGTTGATCAAACACGCCCCTGAATTTGTAGAGTCGATCAACAGATTGGAAGCTGGTGATTAAATGTGTGTGTGTGTGTGTGTGTGTGAGAGAGAGAGAGAGAGAGAGAGATAGAGAGATAGAGACATATAGGAATTCCTCTTAACCAACAATCACATATAGGCATTCCTCTTAACAAATCAAAACTGATAGTTCACATTATAGAAAATTTAAGCTCCAAATATTGACAAACAAAAGCATTTGTGGTGTCTCCACACTGACGCTAGTACAATATGATTCTAAACCCATGATTATGGTTATGTAATTCATTTAAGTTCTCAATAGATGATGCAAATGATTATGCAAGACCGGTTAAGAAAACCCAAACCTGTAGAAGCAAATAAGAGATATCTATAAGCGAGAATAAATGAAATCCTTTAAATAATATATTTACTAACAATAAAATACTTGAGCATAAAAATATACAAATAAGAAGCTATAGTTTTTTAAATACTTTTAGGTACATAGAGGGTATATGCCATTTCAAGAGCAAATCTATTGTATATACAGATAACAAAGGGAAAATTTACTAACCTGGTATTGAAGAGCTGCCCTACAACTTAACCTATTATGTCCCGGATGATCACACCTGTTACAACGAATAGGTCTCATTTCCACCTCTTGTGACTCAATGTGTTTCTTCTTAGGATGACCAGAAGGGCGTTTTGTGCGTGGTGGTAGCACATTTGGCTCATCTGAAAAATGACTCCCCATGCAATGACATATCAACTAATGAGACAGGTCTAACTGGTTTAGAATATGTCTCTTGATAATTTGCAACTCTGAAGTACTCTTCACAATATTCATACAAATTCCTTTTGGCCACATATAGCGCTTTACGTACATACGTGCATGGCAATCCCATGATCTCCATGCTCGACACTCACTCTCGTGTGACTATGTTCACAGAGCAACTCTTATGGCTCCAATTGTTTCAAATTCTTCACTTGAAACCCATATAACACTTATAGAAAGAGAGTTCTTTATGTTTGCTGCCAATCTCTTTTTCACATAGGGGGTGAGAATAGTAGTCCAATTTTCAGACTCCAAAAGGCACTCAGCCATCAATTGTGTTATTTGCCTCCTGATTCGACCTAGGCATTGCAATATAAGGAGTTTTCGAGCCTCTAGAATCCAATTATTAAAGGATTCAGCTACATTTGTTGTAACATATCCATACCGCTTTCCCTTAAATATTGCAGTAGCCTAATGCTCTGGTGATGACTCTATTACCCTGCTATATGCCTCTTGGGAATAGCTTTGAATCTCTCCCATTTTTTGGTTGAATTCATCTCGCCTAAATGTGTGTATGGCACATTAAAAAGCTGATATAATAGCATTTTTAATATCACTAGAAATATATTCCATTTCCTTCTTAAGATTTTTTGTCATATGGCTGTTGCAAAAGGCATACTCAGCATTTTGAAACACTTTTTGGACATTGTTAACCAACCCAATATGTGTAAATGTGATCGATCGCTCCATTCCTATTGCACTCTTCAAGTTTTCTAGAAATCAAAACTAATTGTCAGAATCCTCTGTATCAATGATAGAATATGCAATTGGGAACATCTCATCCTTTGAGTCTCTAGATCTGGCAACAAGTAATGTTCCAAGAAACCGAGCTTTCAAGTGTGTTCCGTCAAGGAAAATGAGTGGGCAATTCCTATTTTTAAAGCCATATATTGATGCAACGAAGGAAATAAAGACTCGTCGCAATTTATCATCTAGCCATTTCTGAAGTGCCACATGGGTTCTCGGATTTGTCTCTAAAAGGCAATCGAGGTATGCTGAGAGGCGATCATAAGCCTCATTTTGGGAGCCATGCAACTCTTTCATCGTTGTCTCCTTGCCCCGCTATGCTCTAAGATATGAAAACTCTATCCCATAATCTTGAGCTATATCCTTCATCATTTCTCTAGGTTTGTATCTTGGGGTGTCACCTAGCTCACTTTTAATGAGGTCAGCAACATATTATTGTGATGCTCTCTTACAGACATTGATGCTCGCCTCCACACCACATGAATGCTCTCTCTTCCAAGTTTTGATTTCGAATATTTTCTGTTGTCCAACTTTAGAGGCCAAAATCTCCCATTGACAGTTATTTCTCTTACATCTTGCCCTTTCCCGATAGTTCTCATTTTTTATGTATACAAATTCTAAGTGGTGTGCCATCACATACTTGCTAAGAGCATAACGAAAATCATTCATACTAGAAAATTCTTGTCCAATGCCACTTAATAGATTTTCTCATGTGTTGAGCAAGCAAGGCATATTATTTTGATCATTATTGCCTTCCTCAAAAATCGAAGTAAAGGGCTGAAGCCTCAAGCCGTCGTTGCCCCTAAAACATCAAATGAAATAAAATGCTACTATTCAAAAAGGCTATTAGACTAACTTAATAATGTATAGATATAAACATAAAACAAATGATAAACATACCTTGTGTGAATGTTTATCAGAGGAGCACCACTCAATTGTTCACATCCATCAAAGACATATATTTCGAGCTCATTGGAGTCTTCATGTGCAAGTAGCATTATTTCTAAATCATTGTCACTAATTAAGATGACATGGCGTTTCTTATTACTTGGGAAAATATACCTTAGTGACGTTGCACATGAGTCTATGGAGAATCACTTTGCTACATGTTCCTTTATCTCCTCCAACTTTATGCAACATACTCCATGTTGCCATCTAAGCTAGAGCGAAGCTCACCAATACATATACATAAAAACAATCGACTACTTGTGTTCATCATATTTCAACTGACCTATGGGAACAAAAATAATATTTTTTTTCAATAATGTAATTTTTACAATAATAACAATAAATAAAAAATAAAAAAATAGTGGCTTAAACTGGGATTTTGTCATGTCGTGGATATCTATCGCTCTGATGTTACTGTGAAGTTGCACTCGCCAATGAAGATCATGACTGCTTTGTGCAGTGTGCTTGTGGTTTCTTTCTGTGAAGTTGCACTCACCAATGAAGATCATGACTGGTTTGTGCAGTATGCTTGTGGTTTCTTTCTTATACATAACTTAACATAATTTCTTGTGTTTTGATATATGCAGTTAATTGTAATTACCTCTTTGAAGCAAATCGTAAGGGATTAGGGACTGCAACTTCAGCATGGATGTTTAAGTGCTCCACTATGTCATTTATTTTATCTTTAAACTCTGTATTTCCCCTAAGAAAGAGTCACCAACAATGTCAGAATACCCAGAAAGATAGAACATAGTGTAGCACTTAAAAGCATCCATAAAAAAAAAAGAAAAAAGAGTAGTGCCTTAATTGTTCTATATGCAGTTATATAACAATTAACAGATGTTGGATACCCAACATAGAAGCTATCAACTAAAAAGATAAAAAGAAAAGGAAAGGAAAAATGATTGTTTTAAGAAGAATAAGCACATCCTAAAATTTAAAGAAATAATTTTAGAGAAATTCTCTAAAGGGAAAATGCAAACAATTAACAATGTCAGCCCAAATATGAGGAAACCAAGGAAACAAACAAGAAAATAGAGAAAAACAAAAGAGTAAAAGCCTGAAGGCCTGTAACAAATAGCCAGAGAATACTGAAAAAGCTGAAGCATATCAAGCAATATTGAACAGATCTTCATAAAGTTTTAAACTTATAGTGTTAGAGAAAATGCATAAAAGCCCTAGGTCACTGCTGGTAGTGAATGCATTGCCACAAGAAACCCTATATATTCCATTTCTATACCAAGAACATAAAAGAAATACAAAGAAAAAGAGGAAAGATCAAAATTAATAGGGATCAGAGAGAGAGGAAGTGAAAAATAAGAACACAGATAACATTAAGAGAGACACAGTGAAAAAGAGAACGATGACCCAAGGGGTAGAGAGAGATCGGAAACAAAAGATTGATACGACAACAGTACCAAAAAATGGAAAGAATAGAGGTTTCGAAAGCAGACAGAGAGACAAAGAGAGAGAGAGTATCAGACGATGAGAGCAATGGAGATTTTGAAGGCAGGGGGAGAGAGAGAGATAGATAGAGAGAGGAGAGAGAAAGAGAGAAATTTACCGTGAGAGGTGAGCAGACTTTGCCGAATGGGGAGAGAGAGCCCTTGCTATAGTAGAGAGAGATTACCATAGTGAAAATGAAAACAGTAAAAAGAGGATTTTGGATTTAGATGGAATAAAATAGTTTGTTGGGGTCAGTTCTGCCAAAAGTGAATAAACAGGGGGAAATAAGGGATGAGGGGGTTAGGTGAAATATTTGAGAGTTTATTTATGCCACTTGAAAAAAAATGGAAGGAGGGTCTACCGTGAAATAAAATGGAGAATTAGGGTTCTGTACAATATTTTCCCTTTCAAATATTCTCCCCTTCTGAGGTTCAAACATGCGATTTTTGGGGTGATTGGGAATTCAAGGATATATTTAGGATCTATTTATAAAGTCCTTAGGTTGAGGCATGTTGATTCACTCATCTTTGAACATCTAAAATGTAGAGACATAAATCATGTAAAGCAATCGTAGCTATAACAATCCGAGTAGAAACATATTCTAATGGGAAGATCTCATTGAAGTATATACCGTCTCCCTAGGCATTTCTTTATGCCACCCGTTGTATCTTGTACTTATCTCCACCATAGTCTGAGCACCATCTTATGATAGGAATACCGAAGTGCGATGAGTTACTTTCTCCCTTTGATAGATAAATCAAATCTTATATCAGCTTTTGTAAAATGATTTAATCTC